CAACAGTAGATGGAAAAAAAAAAAAAAAAAGACTCTCTCTCTCTCTCTTGCGCGCGTATTCGCGCACCCTCTCTCTCTCTCTCAAAAAAAAAAACGACTCTCTCTCTCTCTCTCTGTCTCTCTCTCTTGCTTGCTTGTGCGCATATTCTCGAGACGAGGGAGCTTTAGTAAGAGGAGGAAGAAGAAGAAGAAGAAAAAGAAAAAAATGATCTCTCTCTCTCTCTCTCTCTCTCGTAGGAAGTACTAATTTTTAGCAAGATGATGATGATGATGATGAAGAAGAAGAAGAAGAAGAAGAAGAAGAAGAAGAAAAGAAGAAGAAGAAGAAGAAGAGGACGCGGCACTTACCTGGGCGACGGGCGCTGCGCCACGGCCACGACCATGGACGGCGACGGGCGCTGCGCCACGGCGACGGGCAGGAGGAAGGTGACGGGCGGGAGGCCGACGACGGGCGGGTGACGGGTGGGAGGCCGACGACGGGCGGGAAATCGGAGGAGGACCGCCCTCCCTCCAAGATTAAAAAACGGCGGCCTCGTCTGGGCCGCCGATCTTCCTTGATCAGCGGTTCAGAGAGGCCGCCGTTTGCAATGTTCGTGGCCTCCCAAAAGAAGTCTGGTTCGAATTTTTTATGGGCCAGGAGGCCCCCACAACCCGTGGGGAGGCCTCCTGGCCCTTCAAAAATTTGAACCGGCCTTTTTTTTGGAATGCGCTATAGCCTACAGGGGGCCAACCGGGCAGGTCGACCGGCCAGTCCCACCGGCCCGGTTCCGGTTGGGGGTGGACCCCCCGGTAGGATCGGGTATTTAGCACTGTTTTTTATGTCATTTCCGTCATTTTCTCATGTTGTCTCCAGACGTGATTGTTGGCGAGGTCTGACACCCCTGCCCCCTGCCACCCCTTGTCCCTCCAACATGTCATGCCGCACTTCACGGCCCATCTTACCCACCATCTTCACCCGAATCGAAAGCCCGGTCATGATCGCTGCACCTGCAGTGTGGACTGAAAGTTACCCCATATACAGTTATAATGACCGGGCGTTTTTTTCGGGTGAAGACGACAATAATGCCTGCAAGAACCAGCTTATGTTCGTTTCCAGCTTTATGTTACTTATGTCATTTTGTGATGTTTTATCACCTTCATCATTCTTGGCCATCTCCGATACGGTGACACCCCTTGCACCCTGCCACATATATTGTACCTTCAATGTGTGGCCGCCTCTGCCATGCCCCAGCCTATCTACTATTTGCTGTTAGCCAACAAGCCCAGAAGCACATGCTACACTTCAATTCCTGTCGGCCTTGATTCGCAGTGGAGTGTGGTCATCCGGCCACAGGCACTGTCATTGAACAAATAGAAAATGTTATTGCGTAATTGTGCTGATTTGTTATGTCACTGGTGTGATAGGGGGAGGGGTACGTTTTAATTTGTTGAGCAACTTGAAGTCTTAAACTACTGGTATTCATCGATGATCAGTTGGTGGGCGGGCTCATCAAAGCACTGGTGGAACTATGACATGACTTTGAAGTTTGAACCTCGAAAGGGGCTTGGCTGAGGCGGCCAAACATGGTATCGTCTTCACCGGACTAGAAAGCCTGGTCATTATAACTGTATTCTGGGCAGTTTTCAGACCAGATGCTGCGATAATCACCAGGTGTTGTATTCAGGTGAGGGCGGTATGCACATACTGAAGAAGGATCTAGCAACGGAGATTTCTTCTGTGTCTTTTTTTTAATTTTAAACACGAGTTTGGGCGTAGCTCAGTTGGTACACCCATGGGCTGTTGAAATACAGACGTGAGTTCAAATCCCGGTGGATCGGATGATTGAAATGAAATCAGTTCAGGGGCGGCGTATAATGTGTACAAATCAAAGACAAGTGGTCATTGAGTGAAATGAGGAACTCAGGGAAGAGTGGGCTAGCATGGTTGATGACATGATGAATCGTCAATATGCTTGGCGTAGGGCATACTCATTCTAGCACGTTTTAGAATCAACTCTGGACATAATTGCAGTCAGATACATCCAGAATTCGCCGTAATTGCAGTCAGATACATCTAGGAAAGTCGTACCTAGCTAGTGTGAGTATGCCCTTACTCGAGGGACCCAGATTTGAAGTTGACAGTGCTGCTAGCTGTGAGAAATTGCATGCATACTGTCCCGGCATGGTGGCTCCGAACTCAGACTCGAACGTCGTTGCAAACAGAACTGAACTGAACAGAACAGAACGGACAGAAATGAAACCAAAGGAAACAAAAGAAAATGAAATGAAATGAACGACGAAACAAAATGAAATGATATCAAACAGAAGAAGGCAATAAACTCAGTTCATGGCCACCCCGTTGCGGGCAAGGGTCAACACTTTTGGTCAAAAGGCCCGATACAGGGGTCAAAGGTCACGTCCCAAGTCTGAGAAATGTCGAGGAAAGGCCCTAAGGTCAAGGGGTATCAGGGCCTGGGTGAAAAACAGCGTCCAGTGGCCTCACGTGAGGTAGATTGACTCTTGGAAAATCAAGAGTCAGACCGAGCACGGCAAAAGCAGGCCCAAGGTCAAACTCAACCCAGTAGTCAGCCCCGGCCATAGATCAGAAGCACATCAATGGTTGTCTGCAGGTATCCAGAAGATTCCAGTCCCGACTGGAAAAAGGTACTGCATATCTGCATCCAGGCCATTGATATCGGGCAAATCTGAAGCATCGACAGCCCCCGGCCGTAGATCAGAAGCACATCAATGGTTGTCTGCCGGTATCCAGAAGATTCCAGTCCCAACTG